ATTTTTCCCTAAATTCGCCTTCCTATTCGTCTTGGTCTTTGTAGTCCTGTTTTTTCCGTCTTCAGTTTTATCATCGCTTTCAACATCACATTCGTCTTGGTATTCGACCTCTTTTTCCAGACTTCATGTTGGTTATTGCCGTCTTATTTGTATTCTCATTCATAGTCGTCTTGTGTTCGTTTTCATTTTCGTATTTTTCTTGGTATTCCTTGCTGAATACCTTTTCATATTCGTCCTCGGATTCAGCTTGGAATTCGACTTAGTATTCGTCTTCGTATTCGTTTTCATATTTGGTTCCGTATTCGTCAGAGTTTTCGTTCTCGTATTCGTCTTCGTGTTCCTGTTTTTTTATCTTGTTCAGTTTTCCTGTTGTTTTTGTTTTCGGAACTTCGAAGATAGAACTAGTAAAGTCCCCAGTGCCCCCTATGTACGTCTGCATGTCTACTATTGGTAGGAAATGGGGCATAAAACAACGAATAGTACAAAGGATCCCTACTTTAGGCGGACAGGATTGCAGACGGGTTAAATGTTTCGAATAAATGGAGGTACCCGATAAAACGAAATAGCTACACACGTCATATGGATATTTTATTTAGTATAACAACAGAACCCATGCACTTCTAAAATTAGAACGCTACCAATGCCATCTGGCGACATAAGTCATTACGAGCCACTGCCTTATGGAAATTCACGTCTGCAAAATGGGCTTTCCGGCGAACGACTACTGTCTCAGCTGTGTGATATTTTCGACTGTTCAGACCTATGGTCGAGGAAAATCTGCGACCTCAAAAGCTAGCTGGTTATATTGCTAGGAAAACGGTATCACAGCGGATCTTCTTTGACATAAGTGTGCCTCCAATCGAGACTGATCACTTCCTTGTGGCGACTTCCACATTTATCTGGGTTGGCGGAACAGGTACGTTTTTCCTCAACAGCTGAACCGCTTCCTTCTCCTTTTGGAACAACTCCTTCTCCATCACTGCCAACATCTGCCCAACTAACCGCTTCCGTTGCTGGTGGAATCTTCGGCACTTCCCCTAAAACCAACCGTCTGCTGCAGTACTGGTTGTCGCAACCAACCTTAAGTGGCACTTTCCTGTCACGATATGTGAAGATCATTCTATGGAGGTCAATCTTCACGCCTTAGCCAAGTAGGAAGTCCAGGCCGATGATGACTTCATTCACAATGTCTACCACTACAAACTTGGTGTACGAGGCCACACCGTCGATTATTACCCCACATAGCACTTCTCCTAACACTTGGGTGCGGTCACCAGTTGCAGTCTACAGCTTTGCTCCAAGTAGCGGCTTCACATAATGAGTAGCCACCTCAGGTCGAATAATGGAATGTGATGCTCCAGTATACACTGCTATCACTCGCTCCTGCCCATTCATACATCCACCAACAGTGAGACTGCTCGCTTTCCGGCCAATTTGTGACACTGAGATTATGGGCCCTTCAACGGCTAAAGCCAGAACGCGGCCCTTCCTGCTCCTTCAACCCTGCGTTTGCGTTCTGCTGAATTGTTGAGCCCACTGGAACTTGTTCTGCAAGCGCGGGCGAAGTGCCTGGCTTCCCACATTTAAAACATTTTCCAGAGCCATTTTTTTTTCTCGCCCGGCAGCTTGGTTATCTTCTTCAGCATTTCATTTGTCTCGACCGGGGTGCCCACTTCCACTCGATGGGCTTTGTAGTTGGTCTACTTAGTATTGCTGCCGTTTCACGCGTCTGGGCTTACTAGAGGGTTTCAGCAAATATTTGCTTTGGATACGCATACGTCTCCCGCTTGGTATACATGTCCCTTATTCCGTTGATGAACGTCTGAATTTTTACCCTTTCGAGGTGCTCATCAGATGCGTCCCCAATTGCCAAGTGGGCCAACCTATCGATTTCTGAGGCGAATTCCTGTAGAGTCTCGTTGAATTTTTGGCAGCGATTGTACAACTCCATCTAAGTAGATCTGTCTCCCAAGCTCGCTACGATAACGTCTTTCCACTGCACCCATTGATGCATCGTAACTGTTCCTTTCACAGTCAGGAATAGTCTGCAAGATTTCCGCTGCAGGTCCTTTTAATGCAACGAACAATGCAGCGGATTTGTCCTCCATGCTCCAATGATTTGCTGTAGCTGTCTTCTCGAACTGGAGCTTGAAGACTTGGACCCGTCATAGGACGGAGTTTTTACTTTGAGAGCGTTCGTCGAAGTGGCTGGACGATTGAACTGAAAATCTCGGAGGCGACCTTGAAACTCTTTTACTTTAGCCTCAACTTTATTTTTAATTGGCTCTTAGATTTTGTCTTGCCGCTCCTCGATTTTATTCTGCCTCTCTTTGAGTTCCACATTATCTTTGACTAAATCCTGCCGAAGCTGTGTGATCTGTGCTTATAGCTGAGACAACATGCGTGTTTCCTGCACTTGCAGCTGTGATGAAATCTGCAAAGACATCTGCGACATGGCAGCTAATAACGTGTGCATGCCCATAACTGTTGATGGACTAGGAACCTTTTGCTGTTGTTCAACCTTCTCAGATGTCTGCTGCGCATCCTTCGACGAACAAGCAGCCTCATCCATCTGTTCGTCCTTCGTGGATGTCGCATCGTCCTTGCGATGGAATTCGTATTTGTCAACGTCGAAGCCTTCCTTTTCCATAGCCTCTCGCAGCTGAGGTTGCTAATTTCGCTTCTCCAACTCCTGTTTGAGTTTCAGCTCTTGAATTTTTGCCATCTTCAAAAGTTTATCCTACGGGATTTATTTAACCACGATAACCAATGAACCAATTAGAACAGATCTGACCGGTTGAGAAGCAGCCATTTGTAATAGCAATTGAGAAAAAAGTGTGTGACGTTCGTAGTTCTGAGGTTTGCTATTTCTGTTTTGCTTCTTTCTTTATGTGTATTTTGTCGCTGGTTTATTTCAGTGATTTTTAAGCGATTTTCAATAAATTTTTTGTGCAAATGTAATTCAAATGAAGTGCGCGGTGATTGGATGCAAAAATACGTACAAATATAATAAATTGGTTAGCACAAACATGTGCTACAAAATTGCTTGCATTTTTTTCTTAATGCTTCGTCTTCATATTCTTTGTTTTCTTTCCACAGAAAATGGCATGGCGCCGAAATTACAAACGTCAGCCAGAAAATTACTTTTTTCTTTTGCTTCTTCTTGTCAGATCTTGTGTAGTTGGATCATGACGATANAAAATTGCTTGCATTTTTTTCTTAATGCTTCGTCTTCATATTCTTTGTTTTCTTTCCACAGAAAATGGCATGGCGCCGAAATTACAAACGTCAGCCAGAAAATTACTTTTTTCTTTTGCTTCTTCTTGTCAGATCTTGTGTAGTTGGATCATGACGATAACCAAATTACAGTACAATTAACTTTATTGTACAACAAACACTTTACAATACTGTTTTATGCAATAACAACAATTAATAGTTAAGCTTTNAGAAGAGAAATGACTGGCGTGCTTTGCTGAACTCGGCCAAAATCGCTTAGGCGGTTACAGCGCCAAATAAAAAGAAGAAGAACAATTAATAGTACTTGTTAAGGCAATTAAAACACTTTACAAAACTCGATATCACAATTTATCTCTGTTTCACAACTCACTTGTAGCTCATGATGCAATAATACCACCTTGTATTAGTGCATCATGCTTGTAGCTTGCTGATTCGCTTCTGACTGAAGCTGATGCCATCTGTAAAACTTTGTAGCTATGCATGACATTTATAACTTTGCCAGAGAAAACAATTTTGTACCGCTTTTTTACTAGTCAAAGTTGCTGTGGATTTCATATATTTTGCTTTAAAATTATCAGCAATTAAGTTTTATGTTTCTGCATGAAAACTCGAATTTGGACGAAACAAAATAAATATTAAACTGGCTGATTGTCAAAGCGCGCAAAAAGATGGGAGTTGGCATGCTTTGTGCATTTTCATACAATTCATCTTATCTGTCAAAGCGAATCTGTCACGTAAAGCGAAGCAAAAGTTTTATGTGGCATCAGCTTGACTGTAGCTAGCTAACTTTCAACTAACTCACTTCGCTGTAGTGGCACTCATGGCAACTCTAGAACGTTCTGAAGTTTATCATTTATTCTCTTTCTCTCACTGTTCGCAGTATTCATACATGAAGCAATAATACAAGGTGGTATCAGTTGTGACAGCTCGATTTGGCACTGCCGTAGTTCAGTAGAATGAGAAGAAAAACGGGAAGAAATGAATCCCCATATGGGGGAAAAATATAAAATTTCACATTTTCTCCTTAACAAAATTTGCTTTTTGATAGTATATTCGTTATGAAATGAAATAAAATAAGATAAAATACCTTTTTAAAAAAACAAAGTGTGGATACTGAAAAAAAATAAAAAACATTCAACTATATTGATGGGCAAAGAATAGTTAAAGAAGTAACACTGTTTCACGTAAGGCAGTCAATATGGTGGAATTCATAGACAATTTTTTGACAGGCGATAATCGCCTGCAAAAGTTGACCTGCTGTCTATTTTGAGGCAAGCGATTTTTGAATCACTATTTGTACGTGCGATTTTTCTTAGGCAATGTTGAATCTCATGTAAATCCAGTTTTAGTAAACGAGTATGTGTATTGAAACTTGTAGGGCTCTGTCACACGATCAGCAATTATCACGATATTTGGATCGCGTACCATATTGATATCGCGAACGAATGCTACATGTTCAAAATATTTTGATAGGTTTTAAGCGCCGAGAGCGAATCTGTTTTTGAAGTTCGCATTATGAGAGTACAAGAAATTTATTGACAGTATTGCGATCCGCGATCCAGATTTAATTTTTTTTTGTGATATGGATCACGATCCATCAATATCGTATGCTAAACCGTCAATAAAAATCGTGATACTAGAATCACGTCAATAAATGCTAGTGCTTGTTCGTGCAATGTTCAGGTTATGTTGATAGCTGATATCTCCTTGTTTGTTGACACTTTGTCCATCTGGCATCAACGATAGTTTTAAAAAATGGCGTAATAACGGCTGTCAAAGAAGGCAAAACGCAAGCGTCGAGGAAAATTCAGTAATTTTTTACCATCACAAATAAAGTGAATTCTGTAACATTCTATATGTATATTGATTAGAGAAAATGTAAGTTCAACGAAAATCCAAGTGCTTGCAATAAATATTGTGTTTTTAACCTTGTATTTATCAAGTGTTAAAGCTGTGTAGCTGGCATATGCAAGCATACATATCCATACACAATTGTGTGTAGATTGTGCATTTGTGCATTATGTGGTCACAGGACCCATTTTAGAAAAGTTAATTGATTATATACACATACGTGGAAACATTACGTATTATTAATTAAAGTATTACAATGTGTTCTCAATACAGGGCTGCTGATCGCTTCAGATTAAGCGAGTTTTCTGAATTTCTTGACGATACTGATGGTCATCGTTTGGCGCAGTTTTTGCAGAAAAAGGGTGGGACCGTACGTCCTGGTCGTGTGAGAATATTCGATAGTGAGCCTGAGCATTTTAGCTTAAATGTGCGTATAAAACGGGTAAGTTCGCCACCATCACCTCCCACGGCATCATCTGGTGAAAATGAGAAAACGCAGCATTCGAATATAGAGCATAAAATTAGTAAAGAAAAAATTGAAGGAGATCCAATAGATTTGCCAATCGGGCATGTAACGGAGAACTACGTTTCAGCATCAAAAACAATTCAAACGGCGGCTGCAACAGAATCTGAAAAAACTTGCAATATTAATCAGGCGGCAGATTGCAATTTTGTTCGAGTAATAGAGCATAGCTGTAGTATACAAACGCCAGAAATACCAAGAACACAGTCACGAGCGCCCAGTTCATCATGTCAACCTGCACTAAATTTACCAAACCAACAGCCAAATCACTCTCAATTATCGTCACGAAAACTAGAGCTGGAAAATAATAGACTACCCGCAGTTTCTGAAAATGCGTTACAATCAGAAATGTTTGAACAAACGGAACGACCTGCATCGCCACATCCAGAGCCAACTTTGCAACCGTTACAATGTGTCATAGAACCACAAAGGAACTGTGATAGTCCAACTACTAATTCGAATTCACAACCTCGCAATCTTCGGCCGGTAATGCCGCAATCACCGCGATCGCCACTAACAAACTTGATTCGTAGTTGTGGCGTTAACACTGCAGACCGCTTGCGACGTCAAGTACTAAAGCGGTTATCTACTACGGGTAACAGCGGCAGGCGTACACTTCTCAAAGAGTTCGAAAGCACACTCAACTCAACAGAATTTGTAAGTTTATATTAAAATAAATTTATGGCCACATAAATAAAAGCTATTTCTTTATTTAAGGCCCCTGAAATATGCAGTACACCGATGCATCACACACCAATAGAAAACTTGCAAAGAACTCCAGGGCGACATACTAAAACACCATCTATTGTTCAATCGGTTGAAATGGTCGGTGACCCAGTGAATGAGGCTCTACAACGATCAATTAATATACATTTGAGTCAACATGAGCAGCCACTTACAAAAAATATGGTGGCAGCACTCGAAGAGACCTTAAAAAAATTGAACGAGATTGAAAATTCGCGAGTGCAAAGTGAGGCAGTAACTAAGGCTGGCTCAAATATCACTGTGTTACCAGGGACTCAAGAAATAATACAGCAAGCACAAGCTAACACATCAGAAAATCATCGCTCAAATATAAGTAATGCGCCAGCCACTCACGAGTTGCTTCAAGAAGTACAAAAGGCACTTCAAGACTTGCGAAATTCACTAGTACAGGCACCAAAAATTGTTATACCAGTGAATCAGACATTTAATAACGCTTCAGCACAACCTGAAAACCAAAATAAGGAATCGGCGCCAGGAGGTGGTAGTCAGCAACATGATGAACCGGCGCGTCAGCAAATTCTAAGTAACACTGTGGAACACTGTATTCCCTTACAATCTCATGCCGCATACTCACAATCGATTGCCTCGGAAAACCTTCCCGGTTCTGAATCGATTATGGAAGCCACGCTTAACACTAGCATTTCCAAAAACCCGCACACTTTCGTTAATCATCCGACATTTATCAACTCACGTACTATAAATTCCAATATTGCAACAGAATCAATAAGGAATATGAATTCAAATAGCAAACATAACCGAACGAGCAGCTTTGTAGCCCGCAAAACGTTGACCAATCAGAATAGCGTGCACATTGAGGAAGGTGTGGAACCATTAAAAGAGCATAGCCGTAAAGACCATCGTAGCCCTATGCGACCAATAAATCAAGCAAAATTTACTGACAACAATCGTACTACCTCGCAAAAAAAGTTGCCTTTGGTCATGAGCGAAAACTCATTAGGAACCCATTTTCAAAGTGAAGCTGGGCGCAAGGCACATTCCACCCATACAAGTTTTGCAAATTTTACACCACTAAATATAGACGAGGCAAGTGTGAATAAGGCAAGCAAGAATAAAATTAGTTCAGTACATACATCTAGGCGCCTCAACTGTACAAATAGAAATACTCTTGAAGAATCAGCTACGGCTAGATTAGCCAGGCTTTCAGCTACTGAAATGCGTACATCCCCGTTGATAACTGAGGACGAAGATGACGAAGAGCTCGATTATTTAGTTATCAAAAAGCGTTGTGTACGCCAAAGTGGTCCACTTAACCTTGCCTCCGAAAAGCCAAAGCCGGACGTACGAAGTCGACGCACAATCAAGCGTAACCCATCAAAGCGTCGTTTGGCGTACTCCAAGCTCGCGTCTCCTTCGATTACTAGTGATACAGATCGAGACTCTGGACCACCACCGGCGCATCCTCTCAATTTACAACACGCTACTTGTGATCCTTATAAAACACAAAAACGATTAAAACGGCCATTGAATAAGCCACCAAACACGCCAAAAAATGGTGAGATGTTTGCCGACGAATTGAAGGCGCACCTAGCACGCCTTACAAATCATGAAATACTTGACCTGCGCAAACGTAACTCACTGGGTCAAGCGCTAAAAGCTCCATCACGCTTAAGAAAATCTGCTGCTGGTGACAAGCAAACATTGCAGGAGCAATTACAAATTGAAGAGCAAATTCAAATGGAAATTTTGCGTCGAGAACTATTGGGGGAAGCGGAGGGATTACGTTTGGAGGTTGAGCAGACGGATCAAATTCAAAGCGGAAGTGAATATGAACGAGTCACCACTGATGACATGATTTTTAATGAATTACCATCAGCACCTGCAGCATTTAAGGATGATGATGCTACCGCAACACAGCAAACCTTCTTCCAATTGACGCGGAGAACTATACGCAATTCGTCTCTTTTAGATGATAACAGCAGCGAACAAGTATCGTTCCTCCCTCCGACGCCAAGAGGCAATCGCTCATCACAAGGGAAAAAATCTCGTAAAAAGAAGGATGTGCCATTGGTAAGTAAAAAAAAAAAACATAAATACAGAAAGCTAGCAGAAATGTACTTTTGTGAAGCTGTGTTTTTAATTGCTAGAATTTTATATACCTGCTGTGATAGCTTGGGGTGTAGAAAATTTCAGAAGTCGGAACCGTTTACCAAGTTATTTTCAAGGATCTTGTAAAAAACTATGCGGGTTACTTAACAAAAATAGTGCAACTTATTTATTTAAAAAAATGATGTCTTTAATTTACAATTTGTTTGGCAAGCTGATAAAAACACACTGAATTTTTCCACAACACCTTTGAAAACCACTTCATTATATTACATGCATACATATGTTTATTTTATGTTTATTTGTATCGTTTTGAAATTTTTTATTTTAGTAAACAATTAAATATTAAAAAAATATTCATATATACTAAATATCTTTTAGACTGAAACAAAAAAACGTTATATTGCAATACAGAAAAAAATTGAAAAACGTCGCCAATCAAACCTGTCTAAACGTTCGCTGTACACCAAAGGGGAATCTGGATCTGAAGAAGACTTGCATGCTGGAAAGGTGCCTTCCGAGAAGGAGAATCATCCACAAACGCCACCGTTATTAGAACCCATACGGCCCCCACCTGTAATTTCGCCAATATACCACTTGCATGTACCATCGCCGCCACCGCCACTTGTTGCTTCACGAAACTCTTGGCGTGCTCAATCAATCACGACAGCTTCGCCACCAATAGCGCCGTCATCAATGCAAGAATGTGTATTGCCACCTGCACCGTTTTTGGATAATAGTGCTGAGAAAAGCCCGACAAAAACAACCAATGAAATACAAGTGGCGCAACAACAAACGAAAAACGATGATGCAGTATTCAAAAAACCAACAATGCCTGCACCGCGTGCTGCTCGCAAACTAAGGAGCAGCACAAAGGCAAAGAAGGCAGAAACATTAGAGGTGGCTGACAGTAGTGCTACTGATTCTACCGATACGCAGCCTTCGGATGAGCCTGAAGGTGAGTTTTAAATCTTTGTAAGTACAAAAATATTAAAATTTATTACTAAATGATCTTAGGATTACGACGATCAAAACGTGGACTGGTGCCAAGAAATGATCCTCCCTTTCTGCAAAAGTTGGTGGAAGCAATAGAAAGGAGGAGCTACATTTCAAAAATGAAAAGATTAGAAAAGTCTAGATTATCAGAAGCCGCTAATACTATAAGCAGGCCAATCGCTTCAAGCACGGTTAGAAAAACCACTGCAAAAGCTAACAGTCGCGGCAATAAGAAAGCTGCAATCAACCCAGAACGTAATTTTAGTTACCTGGGCGATACAAATACAACATCTAGCACGACCAGCTTTGCAAGCTGTATTTCGAAAAATGATGTGAATGGGCTGCGGCCGATTATAGAAACGGTATGCGAATATCATGTTGACGTTGTCGCGGCAGAAAAGGCAGCAGCTGGTGCACAATCAACGAGTGTTAGTGAGGTGCCGGCAGCCAGCACTAAAGAAAAGACATCCACAAAGAAAACGGTATGCCGGCCAAGGAAAGGTACAACCTATGTGTTGCAATCAAACGCACATGTAGTGCCGAAACCAAAGGCTAGACCGAGGAAAAATTCGGAAGGCGCAAAAAACAAAAAACATAAGCAACAAGTAACCGAAACAGAGAAAGAGTTCCAAGCAGAAGCAGATGCACTACCTGAACCTATTGAACTGCCTACGAGCAGCCAGGCTGCAAGCGAAGCGAGAACCACAAATCGATCTGTCGTCTTGGAGTGTAGCCGCGTTTATTTGCCTCCACCGCCGCCCTTGGATAAACTCAATGAGATGTTTGACCAGCTAAAAAATAAAGCCAACAACTCAAGTGATGAGACATCTGGACAGGAAACGCCTACCACCACCGACGACACATCGTCAGCGACAATAAGCAGAAATAGAAACCGGAAATTACGTGTGCGTTTGCGACGCTTAAGTGATACCACTCCAACCACAACATCAAGAAATGTATCGAGCCCTACGTCGTCAATACGAGCTTCAACTTCGAGTCAAACTACAAACGATAATGAGTTGTTGACTTGGCTTAAGAATGTATCGCATCTGCAGTCTGAAAATAACCATGACCACGTTTTCATGGACATGCGACCTTGTAAGTTTTATAAAGTAAAATACATTGAATATATGTAGCTGATACAAACAAAAATAAATTCTATCATTTTATTAGCGACCGCTGGCAGATTGTACTTTACCGATTTAGATGGTATTGATTATGCATTCTACGATACGGAAGAGATAACTAGTTTGGGTTATTTACGCTTTAAGCCGTTGCAGTGCAAACCATTGAAGCGAACTAAGAAATATCATTTGGTAAGTGACAGTTGATAAGTTTTTCTGTATGATTTTTCACCACTCCTATATATGAAAGATTTCCCACATCAATTGCAAATAATTATATTTGTTGTTATACCAATATTAAAATTCCCGAAATAGTTTTTGAGGAATCGGCAGAAGTGAAAATCCGTAATTTTTTTTATGTAGACGCAACTGGCGTGGGAACGAACAATGAAGTTAAACAGTCGGTTGATTTAGTTTTACTTCCATGAATTTTTAAATTTAACCGAAAGAGTTTTTCAATAGTTTTTTGAAATACTTATTTTCCTTTCTTCTTCAGCACTTTGTTGTACTTGCGGGCAAATTTCAAATTGGCACCGAGCGCGAACATGGCACATTTGGGATTGGCGATATGGTTGCTATCAACATCGGTAAGTTTAAAAAAGGATAACTATTTTTAAATTTTCGCTTTTATAAAAAAATGTATTAAAATATTTTCTTTCTTTCAGGTTGCCGTTATAAAATCACTAATTTAGATAATGACGTTGCTATTTTAATGGTCATTAAAAAGTAGTGGAAATGCGTTTGCGAAAAGCATTTAATTAATACCCCGGTGCATTCACAGAGAAAGGGCGAGTTCCAAGTTGCATGTTGTTTTGTATTGATGTGAAATATATACACAATATATACAATGTCAGTAGAACAACTTTGCTGTTTTGTTTCAGTTTAAGCATAATAAAAATTAATCATGCGCGGTATGCTCGATTCATGCGTATCTGCAACGCATAAAATGCAAATCGGATACATTGCACAAATACAAAGCAACATGCAACTTGGAGCCCGCCTAAATATGCATTGAAATTATTACATATATAATATTTCTTTTCTACATACGAATGTATTTTTGTTCAGTTTTTCTTTTGTAATTAGCTTTAATTGTAGTAGTGTAGTGTCCTCAAGCAAATTGCCGCATCCATTTGCACTTTTGTTTCCATATGAAGCATACGTGCTAAATAATTTTGTATGTGTGCACTGTAATAATAAAACGAAAATTGTTATAGCACACTATTTTCTTGTTATATACGCTGCATCTATTTTCTATTAAATATTTTTTTTTTCGATTTCACTCAAATAAAAGTTGGTTTTGTTACAAATTGAATTTTTGGTACATTTAGATGTTAAGTTGCTGGAAATTGCATTGTATTCGCTTAACATACATACTCAAAAGAAAAAGGAATATTTATTTTATAGCGATGGCGTATAGACAGTATTGGCTCGTATGCATATTTGCTTTATTTAAATATCAATTGAGGTATTCACAACGGTGTCGTAAGTATTTAATTGTTGTATGTCGTAAACTTTAAACAGCTTAAAAAATATTAAGAGGGCTTTCAAGGAACCATAAAAGTTATATGAATTTTCGTGTTAAAAATATATGTTTGTGGTTTCTAGTCTTCTAGAAATTTATTTAAGCTTTTAAAGTTTAGGACATACAACAATACGACGCCGTTGTTAGTACAGTAGGCGCTGCAAATTAGAACCACTCTGCTTTTAAGGTAATTATAATTTCTGATATATTCTAATTTCTGAACGTTTTTTTATTCGAATAATAATTGAAAATTGATTAAATTTACTTAAAAAATTACAATAAAACTATTTTTTCACTTCATTTAATTTAATAAAAACAAAACCTAACAATCCAGTGCAATACATGTAACATGTATTTTTTTTTAATTAAAAATACATACATATATGGTTGCATTAAATTAAAAAAAGCGGGTAACACACATAAATTGCTGATACCCCTTTTTAGTTCTATTTTGTTCAAACAAAATACAAATAAATAGGGGTTTTCCTGTGGTCAAATCAAAACAAAACATTTAATTCTAATTTCAAAGCGTTTAATGTTTCACTAACGCTAATTCTAGTTTCTGGAAGATTCGAATTTCTGAGATTTCTAATTTGTGAGCATCTACTGTATTCCAAATGAGTATACATAATGTTTTATATTTTTTTGTTAATTATATTAAGACGATCTTGGTCTTTTGCTTTGTTTTTTGCAAAATTTTGGTGTAAAAACTCAAAATCATCATTATTTATTTTTTTATGTACCTAATCCGGACTATTCAATGGCATAAAATATAGNAGAGCGAAATACACCACACAAGCGGTTTGACAAACCAAGCGAAATTTCCCTTTGCTTCAAGCCATTTGTGCTGTGTATGGGGGTGTTTGAAGGTTTGACAAACCGCCGTCAAACCTTCAAACACCCCCATACACAGCACAAATGGCTTGAAGCAAAGGGAAATTTCGCTTGGTTTGTCAAACCGCTTGTGTGGTGTATTTCGCTCTTAAGAAACCTCTACGACTTTACTAAGGGGATATGAATGTACATATACACAAATAATTCATATTAATGTACACATAATAAAGCTTGCTTCGAAGAATGCATTTTTAATAATAGCCACTGAGGTCGCCAAGGACAAACTTGTGTTGTGCACAGAGGTCGAAAATATCCCTTTCCTACTTTGAAAGTGTCCCAAAATAACCGTCACTGTTTAATAGAAAAAATAACCCATAAAACAGAACAGGGGATTATTTTTTGTAGATGTGTGCTCCTCTCAGTGGGAAAGGGTTATTTGCATATCTTTTTCCGTTGCTATTGGGACACGGACACTAATCGCTGGAAAAGGAAAAATAAGTGTTAGGGCGCGGTTACCCACGAACATGTGCGCAGGGTACCGTAGAAGTGCGTAGAAACAGATCAAATTTGCTGTTGATAGAGGGATATATACAATGTCAACGTCACAGTCATGCAATGGCAAAATATCGATAATAAAATCGATAAAAACTCGATAGAAATAACGATGACAAAGTCGATAACATTATAGATAACAAAATCGATAAAAATATCGATACCCAAATCGATTGCAAACTCGATAGAAATATCGATAACAATCGATTACAAACTCGATAAATATATCGATTATTATGTCGATAAGTCCCGAAATCCCGAAGTAGTTCCCAGGTTGAACCTCTGTGACTATATCATTTTCTTTATAATTACCTTTATTTTAATTTTATGTTGAATATCGTCATCGTTAGTAAAAGTGACGATACGGCCATCGTCAGCCGTGTTACTGATGCGCTGACGATCGTCGACGATGAATGAATTGAGTTATTTATGCTATCGTTTTCTGCAACTACTATTCCATGTGTATTTGAAACTCTCATCTCGTTAACTACACTATTTAAAAAGTTATTGATGCAAATATTTTGGTTTCCCCATAAGGTCAACATTACAGTCGAAATCTGTTAAGCGTTAAGCGAAGCGCACATTAGCGCGATTCCATCGTTGCGAATACGTTGCGAATTCGGCTGTTAACTTCGAATCCGCAAACGTGCGCACACTTGAGCGATTTTTTCGCGTCGATTTCCGATGTACAATTCACTCAATTTTCCCTTTATTTCGTGTATTTTCGCACTCGGCGTGCCCAAATCGTACAAAATACTATTATTACGAACGTTTTTATTAGTTTTTGTACATTACACGTTTTTTTTTCTTTGCCTTTATTGCTGTGACACCTTTCTTCTTCTTCTTTGACGCCTTCAAAACGCTGCAAGCCGCGTTTCGAACGCGTCAATAAAGAGGAACATTGAATGTTCGAAAAATTCGCAGCGACGGAATCGTGCAAGTGTGCGCTAGCGCATTAAAATGTATGGGTAGCATTGTTGTAATTTTTGGGCTTGCGGATTCGCAACGACAGAATCGCGCCAATGTGCGCTTCGCTTTATTCTCGAATTCAGGTTTTTCGACTTAAGCGATTATTGCAAATGACCACAGATGTGTCTTTATCATCATATTCCCCTTCACATTTGCCTTTATATTAGTAAAATTTTTAAATTTACCTTGATCTTAAATTTTGCATTTATCTCTACGCATCTTTGTTTTTGTTTTTATTTTTACCTTTGCCTTTATCCTTTTCTTTATCAATAAAATAACTGCGGTTGTGATTGCAACTCGAACAAGCCCTTTATTTGCGTTGCCAGTGGCTGAAATAGTATTACGGATGGCAACTGCATTTCTATGGAAATTTTGATTCAGAAAATTTATTTTTTCAACTGGTTCTGCAGCTGGTTTTCACACAAGTCTTGCTTGCTGGTACCTCAAAATTCCATTATCTTTAACTATTCATAATAAATATATATTTTAATTTCAGTGGCGTTGCGCATCGGCAACCCAACTGAGGTTGCGTTATACATAATCGACCCATTAGACCCCGAACAAACAATAGGTTTGTTCGTCGAGCAAAAAATTTGTACGAATTTGTACGAATTATCACGATTTTTGCCCAAATCGCGTTCGTGCAGACCAAAAAATTATCCAACACTCAAAAATTGTGAGAGCAAAGTGACAGTTCTCTTGGAGAGAAGTTGCAAATTCTTGCTGGAAAAAATTTTGCCAGCAAGAATTTGCAAACACGAAAAACATGTGGTTGTGGCGCATGGTTGCATTTTTGTCTACAATAATTTGAATAAATTAGTTCGTTAAATTTAAAAATTTATAAACACGAGCGATTTTTTATGAAAAAAGGAAGCAAATAATTGTTGATATAATTAATTTAGTTAATTCCAATGATTTGAACTTAATTCGGCTGAAAAAAATGGTATTCGCAATAGGAATGCAATTGCAACCAGAGTCGATTTAAGAAACCCGACAGCTAGTACGATGAAGAAATTGAAATGTATGTTAAAGAAAGTCAGAACAAGAAATATACATGTATATCCTGTTTTTGGCCATCCGAAAGAATTTTAAAAATTCTATACAAATTTTTTATGTTTGAAATGCAACCGTGGACGCCAGCTGGCAGGGAAACTTGCAAATTCCTGCAAATTTGCGTTCGTGCAGAAATTTGCAAGTTTCTCAACATGAGAGAGAATTTGAGAGAACTTTTTCTTACTCTCTGATATTTTGAGTGTTGGATAATTCTTGCTGGATTTTCGACGAACAAACCTAATAACATAAACACGTACATCAATTTTTTCCATATACGTACTTTATTTATTTTGTCTTTAAGTTACTTTTTTCTAAAGTAATCAATTTAAAAGTAAGAACATTTTAACCGTTAGCGGCGCTAGTTTCCATTTACTAATTGAAGCTATTTAAAGAGGATTTCTAATTTAATAGAACAAAGTGAAAAACATTTGGCTACCGTTATTCTTTAATTATTTTGTTATTTTTTAAAGTATTATTCATAAATATTGCTTTTAGTTTGCTGCTACGTCTGCTGTAACCGTTGCCCTCAATAGTATTTCAACGCGTAAGGTCATTGCTGGCATAAACGCAGTTCAGTGTGAATGTATGTATATGTATTTAGAGGGGCAGTAAATGCTTTGCTGGAATGGGAAATGTGTGCTCTATACTTTGTATGAATGTCTGATTCTCGAAATGCATATGCGTCTTTTAAGTTTTTTGTATGTAAGTACGTATGTATACATTTGCAGGCAGCAGCAATGGCACAATTCCCTTTATAGGTTTTAAGTAGATATTTAGCGTTTCTCACCATCAGCAACATTCTGTCAAGCAAAATCAATTAAGTTTGCATTCCTTACCGCTTTATTGAACATAACAACCTTTCACCTTTTCATATTCAAATTACGTATTCAACTACATATAAATGAATTACTGATTTTAGTACTTATCATACTTGAATCCGCTAGTCTTTTTTTTACAAAGTTACACCTTTTCCTATGCTACTCGCAACGTTTTTGGTTGCGATATCCTTTTTATACATTCGCGTGTGGACACAAACTTTTGGATCACACACATAAATTTAATTAATAAACTTTTGACTTTGTGTTGTTAGTATGGTTGGCTTGCGCCGGTTGCGTTTGCACTTTGGTCATTTTACAAACTGTATCGTAGAGTGTAGGGAAGTATTGTATGAACAAGTACGCAGATGCGAGGTAAGCGCAGATGAGTATGGTCAGAAAGAGATCGAAGACGGCAGGTTTTACATGATACACGTTAAGGCGGGCCTCTTGACCCTCATAAAGCATAAAGTCCGGATCGCGTGTATCAGGTTTATCATACATTATTTTCACATTCTTTAGGTACTTTTCGAAAGCATTCTTCAGGTCGTTGTTATGTAGCGCGGATTTTAGCTGCAGGTAGCATTTGATGAGGTTTTTGTTAATTTGCTGCAAATTTAAAAAATTTCAAATTTATTCAGCTAAAAGAATTACATGTTCCTACTCACCAATTCACCGGCAAAAATTTCATTTGGCTCTTGTATTCCATAGACATAGTGAGCCAATGATTCAGCAATTATTTTGGCATGTTGCTGAGTTTGCGCAATAATCTGAGCATCGGACTCTTTGAAGATAGTAGGACGCACGGGCTCTCTGGGCGATTTTAGCGCAGATATTGTGAAGGCAGGCAATCGTTTCATACTAAAACGTTCATGCTCCCAGGCGAGTTGTATATCGGCTAAATTGATTTTCTTGTGCACACCATCGACTGCGACATTGCCGTAAAGTGCGGCTAAAGTTTTGAGTAGTTTGAAGAAATCGTTCATTGCTGTGCCTTCTTTGGGTGGTTTAGAAACGTGCATATAAAGACTTCCTGTTTCAGCATTCAATGGCTGTGTAATCGTATCCAAACATAATACGAAATCAACGTTCTGTAGGTGAAAAAATTACAAAGCATTAGTAAAATTATAAAACAAAGATCAGTGGTAAAATTAAATATTAGTAGCGGTTATCAAAACATTGTGTATTTGCAAAAATTACATTTCAAGTACTTCTAGCAAAATTTACACTAAACTGTGCTCTAAACTATTATAGAATTTTAGGTAGTCAAATCCAATTCGACGTCAAACCTCATCTTTAATGCTATTTGCTTTTTTGGCCGCAATCAAAGTGCCCGTAATGGACACCAGGTCCTCCTTATGTCCACATGGCAGCAATTTTTATAGATTCATTTACAGTTATTAACGCACATATTTATGTAAATACAATATATTTATGCACTTTATAACTTTACCTGCAGCTGTACATTCTCATCCAGCCACTTCTTGACGCCCTGGAAATTCAAAAGTGTACCCGATTCGGTGAGTAAAAACAGCAGTCGATACTTAGGAACTGCATTTGGAGTATTGTGCATTTTGCTGAATACTTCGGCCAGTGTAAGCAACACAGCGGCATCAGCGTTTAGTGGGTAATCCTTAGTAAGGAAAATTAAGTTAAATAACTAAAATGTGCATTAACTTATTAGTTATGTAAATACATTATATAGTCCAAAAGTGTTGAGATGCGCCGCCACTATAATCAATGGCAATTTGCTGTTGACTTCACTACCGCCTTCAACTTGTTTTAATAGTTTTGAAGTTGCTGCCAGTTCACCTTGGATAATTGGAATTTTACTATTCTTGCTAGCCGCGTGACTGGCACCAGACACAATAACCTGATATCCATTAGCTGAGATTGAAGCAAATAGTTCTGCTGCAGCGGAACTACGCTGGGATTTGCCTTCAACATTATTACTGCTGGTTCGAGTGACGTCTGAAATAATGCGTTCCAATTCAGTATTGTATGGCGAAAAGTAAATAGGTATTGAGTTCGGTTGTGCCAGCATGGCTTGTTCCAGCAAAATGAGATGCTGAAAACAAATTGAAGTGCATTCAAGTTAATCAAAAGCCTGTATTAACTGATTTCTAATACGTACCTCTTTCTCTTCAAAAGTCATTGCGCTAACATTCTTGGGTAGCAGTATAACTAAGCCACCCGCTTTTTGGCGTATCTCGCGAAACTGATCAATTGTTAAATCTTGAAGTCTAAATATTTTGTAGTGATGGATCATATGCATTTACTTTAATTCAAATCAATACTTACTTGGCCAACACACAGTGCCTGCCCGTGCTCCAAGTATAGAGCGATTTCGCTTCTAGCGACAAAGCAGATGCACGGCATCCTAAAATAAAGAAAAGAGAGAATGAATTGCAAATCTATGCATGACGTTAAAGGAGCGTAAAATTCGTATCACTTTGAGAAATGTTAACTCATCTGGACGTGGAAAAATTTGGTCTACCAGCAGTTCCTAACCTCAAAATCTGCATTAGCATTTATTGCATTTTCTTAAGCTATGTTTGTATGTATGTATGTCCATTACAGAATAAAACACGAAAGATAAGTTAGCATAGATACATATCTACAAAAAGCCTTGATATCACTTCAAACATGGCACATAACCTAATATCTGTAATCAACACTGTGGAGCACCGCAAGTGGCCTACTCACCAAATGCTACTCCATTCACATCGAACTGGGACATGCGCTGCACCGAAAACTCGCTGGATGCCAGTACAGGATTAGCAGAGCAGATGAATAAAATTGGAAGCGCTATGAGCAGATATGGCAGACCACCGCGGAAAATATCCGCGAAATTCTCGGCATCCTCAAGCATTTCGTCTTCGTTTTGTGGAGTGTTGCTGAGAACAAGTGCGTAGCGCTGGGCTATACGGCACGAAGTGTCAAGAGGCAGGTGTTAATTAAATTATATTAATTAAATTTAATTTGTTCTATTTAGCTCGACTAGACTGGCACCGGCTGATTTTATTTTTTTTTTTAATGATTTTTTGGAAAGGTTGATTTTTAAGGTACTGTCAAAGTTCATGCATTAATTAATCAAGACTAGTTGTGGATGACAAGAAGTAAATCTTAAGCGTTAAAAAAACAGATGATAAATTTAAGCGAATTGTTTTTATTTTACGAATACTTTTCAGATTAAAGAATTATTAAAAAGTTACGAATACATAAATTAAAATAGAAATTTTCTTTGTAAATATTAATTTGATGTGAGCTTTTTTTCTTCTCTGCAACCCTTTTTTCAACCATCTCGCTAGAAGTGCAAAACTATCGATGGCACTATCGATAGTATCGATGTTTTTTATTTTTCCCTACTATCGATTGTTTTTTGGTCCTATCGATAGTCCGACAGACAAGTGATTCAGTATTTATTTTAGTTTTTTTTCTTCTTTTCTTTTCATTTCTCTTAAACATCCAAGTTGCATCTCTTAAAATACGGCTAAAAACTGATACAAATTAATTTATACCAAAACTTTCAATATTATCTATGCACCACTATATACTATTTAATAAAAGGTAGATAAAAACCATTACTTCTCAGATAAAAAATGTTTTCTTCTTCTAAAAATGAAATTTACTTGATGAATGCCTTATATATGACGGAGGATATCGAAAACCACAAATATAAAATTTCAGTACGCCCAATTTCATTCCATTTCAATTCATTTCAAATTTTCAATAACTTTACTTCTAACTTAACGGTTAAACAATTAGAAAAAGTGTCCAGCAGTTTACAAGGTCATCGAAACGTAATTTCGGAATATATTCTTAAGGAAATTTTCATACGAAAATTGAGCCAAAACCACATGAACCAAAAATACAAGATCACGTAAGAACGCGACGTTGTATTTGTAACTGGTTTTGAGAAAAAAGTTTGCGAAAGCGGGTTCGTCAGCTGAGCGTTTGTTTACATCACAAGCACCACTATTTTACACTTTTATTCAAGTAAAGAAGAGTTAATTCAACATGACAACACATTTTAAAGCATTTTGTTGCATCATTTTACCTAAATTGTGCGTTTAAAGTGGCTGACAATAATTTTGGCTAATTTTGGTTTTCGTTGTTTTCTTTGCTTTGTTTACTTTTCGCTCGTTTTCCAGTGAAACAAGATGGCGTA